CTCATCATTTTTGACGGGCAGTTGGCTAGTATTAACATAAAGCTTGTGGCAGATGTTACACTGAAAACATGATTAACCATTTAGTCATGTCTTGGGTAGTACCTTGGCCTCATGTTAATGAAATTAACAGCATGAAAAAACAAGGAATAAGCCGCAAAGTTATTACATGCGATATGTGTAACAACATTGTGGATGGTTCCCATCATACCTTAAATGGTACATGTGTCCAGGGTGATTTGGGCTTCCAGCCTCAGGAGCACATGGGAGCTTTTGACTCCTGTATGTTTCTGAGGCTGGAAGCGGGGATTAGCTGACTGGTGGCTTAATTGCTGGTGCAGGGGGAGATCACTGCACCCATGCTCTTCCTGCACTGGCCACATGGGACAATGGGGATGCAATCCAAATCCCACAGTCACACCTCCTGCTGTGCATGTGTAGCATGGCAAGAAGTGCAATTGGGATTGTATATCCACAGTGCCTTTAGTTGAACATCTGCTGGGGGCCTAAGTGTCAGATGTACGGTATGGGAGATAATTAATTCTGCTCTGCTTTATCCAGGTGTGGCCTTAATTGAAGTGCTATGTCCATTTTGGGGAGTTTAAAAAAAAGATGTAGGCAAATGAGAGAGAGGGCAATGACAATGATAAAAACAATAAATATAAATCATAAGAGGACAAATTCTAAAACAAAATCCATGAGAAAATATTTTTTTTAACATAAAGAAAGCAGTGCTCAGTTGTTCCCCATCTTCCCTGAGGTTAAAACCAGAAGTAATCAGGTTTATCTGCAGCAAGGGAAATATAAGTTAGACATTCAGAAAAACTTTTTTATCTCTAAGGGTATTTAAGCTCTTGCACAGCTTGTCTAGGGAGATTAACACAAACATTTGTTGGCGGGGATAGGGAGCAGGGTTAGATATACTTGATCTTTTCTCAGAGAAAAGGAATTTGACTAGATGATTTCCTGAAGCACCTTCTGCCCTATATCAGTCAGTCAGATAGTCAGTCCTGAGGCCTCACTGACCATTGCGGGCACCTTTGATGTAACAATAACTTTCTTCCATTCTTCCCAGTCTTTTGCAATTCTTGTATAATCAGTCAGTTTTAATCCCATCCAGTCTTTGATGTTTGTGGTCCAGCTTGTCCTAGGTTGTCGTCTTCTTTGTCCATCCATAGCACCCTACTTACCCTGTTGGTAAGGGTGCTGGGCCTTGTTGTTACAAGTCCAAACCACTGCATCTTTCTTCTTACCATTTCTAGTAAGGGTTCATATTTGCTGACTTCTTGTCTGATTTGATCTTTCACAGATTCATTTGTTCTGTGCAGTGAGAGGTATACAGTGCAGAAGTCTTCTGGAGCACTGTTTCAAAAGTCTCAATTCATTTTTCCAGCACCCTAGTGAGTGTCCAGGGCTTGCAGCTGTAGAGAGTTATTAAAATGACAGCAGCCTATAGTAGGTGGAATTTTGTTTTCCTTGTGATGTTGCTGCTAGTCCAGATTTTCTTCAGTTTTGCTAGCTGTCCAATGGCAATGGCTATTCTTGTTTTTACTTCTTGTTCTGATGTAGCATCTTCTGTGATGGTTGCTCAAAGGTATTTAAAGTGTGTTACTTTTTCTAGCTTCTCGTTACCAATTTTTACTGATGCATCATCATTGCTACTGGCTGATATTATCATTACTTTGCTCTTTTCCACAGTAATTTCCATTCCATATCTCTTTGTATCCTTATGCAGCCGTTCCATTATTTCCTTAAGCTCTTCTGCATTTCCAACTATTAGATCAATGTTATCAGCAAAATGAAGGTTGTTAATTTCTCGTCCTCTAACTGACACTGTTCCAGTGAAGTTCTCTAAGGCATTTGGCATAACTTGTTCCAGGTATAAATTAAATAAGCATGCTGAGAGAAGACACTTTCTCTCAACATACTCTTGGCATACTCCTACTGATGTTGCAAACCACTCCAGAATTTTGTTTTCAGACAGGACTCCACTACTTGTTTTGTTGTAGAGTTCTTCTATAAGATTGGTCAGTGTAGGACTGATGTTACACTTCTTCATTGTCAGCCAAAGTGTTTTTCGCCACACCCTGTTCAAAAGCTTTTAAAAAAATATGTGAAATTAAATTGTTTTGTTTTGGGGGTTTTTTTTGGGGGGTGGGGATTTTGTACAATATGTCAATTGTCTGTTTCCTGTTTTTGATAGTTCTGCACGTATATTGTCCAGGCCAGTTACTTTTCCATTTTTCATGCTTCTGATAGCTTCTTCCTACTGCTAGTGCTATGGGTACTTCTACTACCCTACATGCTTATGTAATAATATTATAATATCTTATCATTTGGCCTTGTGTGCCACAGCAGCATTAATAGGAAATATGAACAGGAGGATGCTGAGCACATTGTCACTACCTGTGGGCAAGTTCTACCAGTCTCCTATTCTCTCTGAATTGTACTTTACTTTTCAAATAGCCCCAATGAAATCAACAACTCCAATATGAGTAAGAATAATAGATGATGGCCTGTAATACACAAAATGTAAGAGAATAGGAAAGAAAGGCCCACAACAGAGAGAGAACTGTCTAGAATTATCAATGCTGATTTTCTGGCAATAGTGTTATTTTGAAATAGGGGTTAGAATGCAGTTTGTCCTGTGCAGGCTATAGTTACTTTAAGAATATTTCTCATGTACAAAACGTAAGAATACCATGTTAAGTAGACATTCCCTTTTTTTAGTTTCCACTTGAAGTTACTTGTTTTTATTGTACACAGTATTTCTCACAAAGAAAGACTACATTGTGTCTTTGATTAACATGCAGCACAGACAAACAACAGTGGATGAAAGTTGAATCCATTCTGTAGCTATGCAACTGTAGTAAGCCCAACCATTCCCTAGTTGGTGCTCCAAGGTAATAAACAGATGATTACTAATACACTGAGTCAGAAAATCAGTTACCGGAAGAACTATAAACAAGAATAGTATTAGAAATATTTTGGGACTAAATGGAGTCTCAGCCTTAGGTTGAGCCTTTTTCAATGAAATGGAGAACTCACCTTAAAATTGATTGCATTCTAGAATCTAAATGTGTTTTTCTTCTTGTTCTAATAGCCTTGGTCTAAGTTGCTTTTTGTCTTTTATAAAAGCATTTTAGAGATGTACATCTTAGGTAGGGGAGACCTTTGGTTAAATAAATAGATCATAAATAAGTGTTACATAGATATCAAACAAAACAGTTACAGTTCTGGTCTGAATCCAAATATTGTTTATGAAAACAGGATGGCTTTTTAAAGTACCTATTTTAATAGAGCTAAGGATATATTGGTAATGTCAGCTGAAGTATCCTCAGAGTTCTCCTGGGTGCTGTTACAGAGTCTGGAAGTAAGAGACTGAAGCTGCTCTCATAACATGCTGCTTATTTACTCTGGCTGGCTTTATTATGATGCTTCTCACTCCTTGACAATCTGAATATGTCTGCGGAGTGGACATTTGCGTGGCTGCTTGGTATAGAACCATGTCTTTCTTCATCGAGGCCCTTGCCTGCATTTGAACTGAGACTGTACAGCCAGAATGGTATTTTAATAGAACTGATTAACACAGTCCTCAGTTACCCTGCCCAGGATGGATCCTTCTCTTGGGAATTTTGTATATGAAAACCAAAACCCATGTTTTTGATGAGGGTGGGAAAGCTGTCAGTCAGGTACTTTGCTGTGCGAGCTGCACAACCTATTGAGGTTTCCCAGCAACAGGACCAAGTCGGCTACAGGGGAATGTGCCCTCTTGCCCTTCTAGGTAACAGAGGCGCTGTTCCCATACATAAGAGCTGTACATCTACCCTCAGCCCAGGGCTCTGTCTGTGAATCACAGGAGCAACAGATTTGGCAGCTTTGTGCTACAGAGTGTGCAGAGCCACGATTTGGCTGGTTGAGCAGAGCTTATTTCTAAATGATCCTGTTAGTTTATTAACATTATTTTCTTTCCAGTTTTTATTTATATTTTGTCACATGAAAAAAGAGAAACTGTTTGTTCTTTGTGGTAGTTTTGACATGGTTTTCAGTAACCCAGAATTATAAATTAAACATAGATTGCAAATAAAATGCTACCTCAAACTTCTGTGCATTGTCTTGGCCCACAGTCTTTTCCTAAATTCATCCTAGTGTTTGGTGGAATGTCCTCCTTGATCAGACTAGCAAAGACTGTTGTGGTTTCTACCTTCCTCTTTCATGTCGGGTATTATCTGTGTTTGTTTTACCAAATTCCCCAGTATGGCAGGGGCTTTGGTCCCTCTGCCTCCCTTCCTGTGGCATGCTAGTTCTTAGACCTTTGCTTTTTTATGCTAAGGTTTCTAGTTTGTTGTAAGATGCTATAGGCTACTTTGTGGTTGTGGAGTGAGGAGGGGCCATAATGGATGTTTTTACAAAACCGATTAAATGTCTATTTATAGTTGTCTGTGATTGCAGGAGATTGAGCTCAGTGACCCAGGCAGTGCCTTTCACTGAGTTTTAAATGAAAAAGGTAACATTTGAAATGAACAAGCACAGGGGAGAGACCTGTTCATAATAATGTATGTGCAAATACAATATAACAATACAATATTAGCAATGATAACTTCCAATTATAGATTACACAGAGTTAGTCGATACAGACAGTACATTCTAGGGTGATAGTAATGCTTCCACTTTAATCCAACATTTTTCTGTAGTGGTATGCTGTAGGGGCAGTAAACACAGTGATGGAGTAGTGAAGTAGAAGGTCTTGACACAAATACAAATTAAAATACATACCTGGTTTTCAGAGATGCAGAGCACCTAGTAAATCAGTAAATTGCTAGTTTATTTTTTGCTGAACCAAATGATCAAGGCCAGTACTGATTAGCTTGCTCTGTGCACCCAAGATTAAATACCTATACTTGGTAAATCAGTATTTCTCACCTTTCCCTTTCATTTCTGCTTTCTTTTGACTACAGACTGGCATTTTATTGTATATAATTCCATATTTTTATGTATTTCAGACAAACTGTATATGGGACCAGGGCAGCTATACCATGATTTGCAGAATCTCTTACATGATTTGAATGTAGTCGGTCAAATTAGTCAACTGATAGGCAGCCTTAAAGGAAACTATCAGGTAACAACCAAAGTTGGATTTATTTTCAGAATATACTTCCAGTTATAAAGCTGTCTGATCATCCTAAGAGCTCTGCAAGGCATTCTTTAGTGCTCTCTGGAGAGATTACAATCATTTTTTAACTCCAATAATTGATTTACTGTTAAATGTTTGGAATTATGAATAAATTACATCCGTCTTCCTAATCTTGTTTTGCTCTATTGTTTTTGTGTGGGTGGTTGCAAGTGTCTACGTCTGCTTGGTATCTACAGAATTGTGGATATTCTGTACCCTCAGTAGCTGCTTCAGGCTATTGTGGATATTACATTTCAATTTAAAAAAATAAATAAATCTGGTCCTAGAATTAGGACGTGGTGGTGGGAAGATTACTTTACACTGCACATCTGGCTAAGGCTCTTTATACTCCACCCTGTACTTTGTCTTCCTCAGGGTGATAGTGTACTGTAATACTTTTTTACCATATTTATCCAGTTTTATGAACAGTCATTGGAATACTTATGGTGATTCATTTAGGCTTTGTTAAAACTCTTTTATGTGCTTTTCATCATATATTTGAGCAGAGAAATATGGTATCTTACACTGAATAGTCAGAAAGCATGAATCAGACCCTCAAAATCACAAGACTTTTTTTTGAATAGTGATTTTTATGTGCTTTTTGTATTCCTTTAATGTGAACTTATAAGTTTTTCTCTGCAGACATGAAGGCTAGAAACTTAAGGCTTTTTATAAATGTAAACTGAATTTCTCACCTAATTTCTTGTCTCCAGAATTATGGCCATTAAAACATAAAGCATTGCAAGATTTATGGTTAAAATTGTAAAAGTAAGCAACAGTAAAAATGCGCCATCAGGATTGTTCCTGGCAACAGCATTTTTAAAATTAACCTGCAGAATACTTAAGGAAATAAATATCAACAGTCAGGAACAGGAGCAGGCCACTTGTGTTTCCAAGTAAAGCAGCTCAGATTTTGAATATTGACTAACTGTGGAATGCTTACAGGTAGATGCAGCTGAAATATTAAGGATGAACAATTTATTTGATGAATAAAGCCACTCATGTTAGAAGCCAACAAAAAACCCTATTTTTATAACATTTTAACTATTGAAATTAACCTACATTAGTATATGGACTGCACATCCATCATAGCTTTGCTCCTGTATTCAGACCCTGGTTCCTAATTTCGACAAATCCTAACCACACATTATCATAGTTCTGTCAATACATATGGTTCAAATAGTTGTGCAAAAATTAATTGTTTGAAAATTGGCAGCACTTTACTTTTCCTAATTTGTTTTTTATAAAAAATATTGCCTTGTATAAATATTAATGAAAAGCAATGTCAAAGCAAATTTGTGTTATTTATTCACGTAATGTTTGTTAATAAGTTTTGCAATATTAAATAAATCCAACTTGGAATAAACTGTTTGAGAGCACATCATAGTATGAAACATAGACAAAAAAATTTTTGAAATAATTTTACATAGCTTTTGGTAAACCGTGCTCAGTTTTTCAGGTACAAAACACCTATTTTTCATCAAAATGTTTATATCTTTTCTTTTAATCTTGCAGAACTTAAATCAGTCAGTGGCTCATGACTGGACGTCAGGTTTACAAAAACTGATATTGAAAAAGGAAGATGAAATCCGAGCTGCAGATCGCTGTAGAATTCAACTGCAGCTTTCAGGGAAGCAGGACAAGTCAGTTGTAATCTTAAATCTAAAATTTTATAAATGTGCATAAGAGAGGAATAAGATTTTGTTATGTTGCTCAGTATTTTGAACCGTGGCCGTGTCTCATACATGTTGGAATAGGATGTTATTTCATCTTGTAGAGTTACTTGAAAAATAACTATTTTTTCTTTTAATATTGCACAGGTCTGGGAGACCTACTTTCTTTACTGCAGTGTTCAATACATTTACCCCTGCCATCAAACAATCTTGGATCAACAATTTACAAATGGCTAAGCTTGCCCTTGGTAAGACTTGATTGTTTGCTTTAAATAAATCGGAGCATTATATCAAGAATGTACCCTCTTACCACAGACAGTTGCAAGTACAGTATTTTGTATGTTAGAAGATGAAGTTGTTGATTAAAAGGCTTACTGTAGAAAGTGAGTGCACAGTAGCCATTGGTGATGCATGGGGGGTGCATGTGCATGCACCCCCTGAGATTGGCAGTACATCCCCCTTCAAAAAGGGGGTGCACCCCTGCCTGTGGGCAGTTGCCGCTCACCACCACACACCACTGGTGGTCCCCGACTGCCACTGGCCGCTGCCAATGCTGCCGGCAGCGCCTGCAAGTGTTCACCACCTGTTGGTCAGTGCTTGCCACCCCCTACCCCGACTGTGGCCACCTGCAGGAGCTCACCGCTGCCATGCTTCCACCGCCAATAGTGCCACCACTGCCTGCAGGAGCTTGCCGTGCCCTCCCAGCCTCTGGGGGCACGTGGCGTTCATGCCAGTGGCAACTGTATAACAATGAAGGTTAAAGATGATTTATACCTCAGTGCACATATTATACATGTAACATGTAGCACAGTATTTTTAACAAAGCTGGAAGTACTTGTTACTTATAAGAAAGCTGGCTAATCTGTATCAGAATGAGCGACCATCGTATAGAGAGGCTGTAAGGCCTATTTCATTCTAAAAACAAGGATTTTTGTGGATGATATTTTATTATTGGACTAATTGTGTGGTTGGAATAGACTTAAATAAACTTTTTAGTACCTCAGATCTCAGGAAGGTATTTGGTACCTAAGAGTTTCTCTAAATCTATTCCAGCCATGCAGTTGACCCAATAAAAGATATCAGCTAAAAAAGTCCTTGCCCCTCTCATTTCTTGGAACATCGCAGCTACATCATCACTCCAGCACTACCTATTCCATTCTATGTTTTCAGTTCTCATAAACTTTTCAAACATTTCTTTCGGTGTAAAATTTCTCACTCTTGGTTTTATCCTAAGAATGAATTTTACTTGGGAAATTTATAACAGTGCATGGAGCATGTTCTGTAGCTTCCTGATAACCCGTTCCCCAGCCCCACATGTGTGTCCCTTTAACGTAATAGCATTTTTATTCATGGACAAGTCAAATTTAGATTTTTTTAAAATTATTCAACTTGCATCTCTAAACCTTAATGAAAACCAGCTTCTTTAACATGCTTAAAATAATTAGATTAAGTAATGTAATATTAAAGTGAAAGTTAAAAGGACATACCATCAGGCACTGCTTTACATTCTTAAAGCTGTTTTTCTAGTTTCCAGATTTTTTCATAAGTGCCTTGTGATTTTTAGGCAGATAAGGTTTTTTTGGTAAATCTGATATCTTTTATTAGACCAAGTCAGCGTGATTTTTTTAGCTATACAACCTGAGACATCTCTAGGTTTTTTCCTGGTTTTTCAAAAAGGTGCTGTGTAGTTCCCCCAAATTAGCTTCTTTATAACTTGCCTTACAGTAAGCCTCCAACTTTTGAACTGTTCAAAGTGGCTAGATAAATGATTTTTTTTTAACTTTTGATTCTGGGTATCCATAGCATAAATAAGATATGTACGTATAAGATATGCATATTAAGCCCATTCAAATACAGATCTATTTGGAGACCTGTGTTTGGCATGTGTTCAGAAATAGTCATGAAAATAAGTGGCCAGGCTTTCAATGTCACTATACGTTACAGTTGACACAGTTTTTGTATTTCCAAATTCAACTTCTTCAAACATTTATAAGACATTTCTATTAAATAAGTGACAGGAAAAGAGACCATACATTTTCCCATTTTTAATATATTATGCCTGATATTTTCAAGCTCAAGAATATTTAATTTTTTAAAAGGAGTGTATTCTTCATAGCTTACAACATAAAAAAAAGTTGTCTAAAAATAATTCACTCAATGGAATGAAAAATTCCAAACCAAAAGCAACATCTTTGGCAGTTAGGAGTGAGCAAAAATATAGGCTTAATGGAATGGAATGACTCTATAATTATAGGCTATTTTTATAATAATGGTAAGTGGTAGAGATGGAAGAAGTCTGCAACTTATATTTGGCAGGATCAGAGAGGGATCAGATGATATTTTTAAACAATGTCTTTTCCTCTGTTAGGCTCCTACAGACTCCAATTCCCATAATGTCAACTGAGAATTCTTTATAATACCTAATAGTAGCAGTGTTTTATGTAATTACAAACAGACTGAGTCTTGAACAGATTCATTCTGTGAAAGGAGTGCACCCAGAAGGCAGATACCTTGTTGCAGATTTTAAGTATTAGGTCAGTGGTTTTAAGTATTAGATGAGTGGTTTTCATCCTTTTTTTCATTTGTGGGCCCCTAAAAAATTTTGAACAGAGGTGTGGACCCCTTTGGAAATTTCAAATGGAGGTGCAAACCCCTTTGAATTATAAGTATGGGTATTCACACACTTTTGATTCATTGTAGTCATCTTTTGTGAACCCCTTAGACACAGTCTGCCATCCCCCAGGGGTCCGTGGGCCACAGGTTGAAAACCACTATATTAGATTATGTGAAAACTGTTGTGTTCCCCTACAAATGCAGATGTCGTAATCAACATTATCCTTTCATACATCAAGGCTCTGATGGAGTAAAACAGTCTACCAGAATTGTTTGTATATTTGATCTGAGATGCTATCAACTATCAAATAAAGCATGGTGATATATTTTGATTTGGTTTCTTTACAATTACAGCGGAAGAAAACCTATTGGGTTGGTTCTGTGCAGAAGATGATGGCAATCAAATCAAGAAAGAAAAGCACCCCCTCCTTGTTAGACATATGCCAGTCATGATGGCTAAACAACAGGAGTTTAAGGTGAATAGTACTTGATACCTTAATTAATGTAAGTTTAATATATAAAGGGCTCCATATGTTAACTGGCCCTCATCTGGTATATTTTATCATCTCTCATTATCATTCAGGAGTACATGGATGCCTTAGATTATTCCTTTTAAACAGATTTGTTTTCTAAAGTCCTTGTCTTTCACATTGCTTGTTGCAAGATCCAGGGTTAATTTACCACTGTTTGAGCAATGGGCGCCATCATCAAGTTTGCCCAGATCACAAATAAAGACACAGAAATGCAAAAAATATTCCAAGAGATTTCTAAGGTGTAGGCTGCCTTGTTTCTCCCTAGCGTGGCTGTCAGCTACTGTAAATCATCATTACCAGAATAGTTTCAGTAACCAAAAGCAAGTCATTCACTGAGACTGCCAGGGGGAATTCTTCATTTTCCTGATTGCTCACTTGACATGGATGGTCTGTTACAGGAGTAGAGGATGACAACAGATGTTGGTTTGATATAGTAATACTTCATCTTCAAGAAAAATATCAATAAATCCAGCTCTATATGTTGATTACTGATCTCCATAGGCTGATCACCCTAGATTGTTGATCTAGTATTTTAAAAGTGGGGTCTGGCAGCTGTGATAGTACTGTCTGCAAACCTCCCAGCTCCCAGCCCCACCACCCTTGAATCATGTTCCACCTGCTTCCAGTATGAGCAGCTCCACAAGACACTACATTGTTCTCAGGCTGGAGTTGAAGGCCATTTACTAGTGCCTCCAGATGCCTGGGCTTACTGTGGAGTCTGGGCAGCAGTGAGCTCAGACATTGGGGTAATGGGAGGCAAGGTATGGCTAGGGCACTTGGGTTAGCAAGGGACACCGGGGAGAGGGCCACCCTCAGAGCAGGTGCAGCAAGGGGGGATGCACCCACAGCTGTCACCAGTAGGAGAAGCCCCAGGGCCCTTCTTACTCTGCTCCAGCCTAGAGTTTTGGGGAGAATCTGAATAGGGTGTCATGCCTTAGTGGGGACAATAGCAGTAGCAGGAAGTTTCCCCCTTTCTGTGCTTGCTCCTAGGCCAGGAGGGATCACTGAAACCTGCTGGAACAGCAGTCTGGCTTTATGCGCTGGGTGCAAACATAGTGACATCTTCTGTGTAAACCAGTCTTCTGGGAGTCATAGTCCCAATCCTGTTGGAGTAGCTCCATACGTTATCGCTCTGAAAGGATCCAGACTGACTCCTGAGGCCTGCAGGGCACAGCAGGGACTCCAGTGGAATTGGGTGTCTCGAGCAAGCCCAGAAAGGGAGAAACCAGAGGTTTCTCACTGGCTTGGAGGCTTCAGCTGCACTGTGGGAAATTCCAGAACTCCTCATCAAGGCACCAAATTGGCAAACTGTTTAGAATGTCTTTTAGGATACGTGTTTTGCTATATCAGGATGGACTTGAGTATAGGCTTAAATACTTTAGTTAACTGAAACTTAAATCAGGAAGAAGTACAAAATCTGCTTAACGTGCTAACAATTTTTCATTCTTTATTCCAAGATTGAATGTGCTGCATATAATCCTGAACCTTATGTCTCTAGTGAAACTGAGCCAGATTCATGTTCCATGGAGCATGGCTTTCTTTGGGTAAGTTTAATCTTCAAGCACCTGTATGTTTGTCTCATACTTCCTTACTAATTTTCTCTAAGTGTCAGCAGTGCACAGATCTGATATACATGCTCATTCTGAATGGCTACATTTTATGAAAGATAACCAGTAGCTTTGAGCACATTTTTTCATTACTCAGAGGACCATTCTGTGCATGCAGGTGAAAGTGCGATGAGATCTAATGCATGATCCATGCAATCATGCTTTCTGCCATGCCGCATGTCCCCTGCTCCCCATGCACCAGAAGGAAGCAAGCTTACATGACTGGGCCCCCTCACCTCAGGGGCTCCCAGGTGTGAGGTCTTCATGAACCCCTATGGCTGGGACATCATGGCATCCGTGATCTCCCAGTCCTGGGGCTTTATGCACCCCTGGGGTTGGGAGATTTCAGCCACACCCTGTGGTGGCATCCACAGTTGTGGGGTGCTGCTGAGACCCAGGGTCAGCAGCTTCTCAGGTTGAAAATCCCTTCAGGTGCAGCACTCTCAGCCCCAGCTGGATAGGGTGCATCCCTGTGGCTGGGAACCCTATCAGCTGGCGGAGTTCCTAGCTGCAGGGGAGACCATGCAACACATGCATATTAAAGCCCGATAGCAACCAGCTATACAGTTAGTCCACATTTTTGAGGTCTAGTTTAATAGCAGGTTGGATCTTTTTGTGGCATGATGGGTACTGTGCACACGTAGCTGGTCTCTAGGTAATTGCACAATTAACCAGTTAATTGTGTGATACCTGTAACATGTAGAGGGGGACTTGAGTGACTGTCCACATGTGCAAATACACAAATAAATTATTTGCTAGCGAGTTATGGTATATATTTTAAAGTACTCTATATTGCTACAAGCAAATCACATGGTTGATCTCCATGAGTGCCAGGAAACACATATGAGATCACCCTACTGCATCATCTCTTCCATGTTTTAGAAATGTTTTGGAGAGTTGTAAATTATTCCATTGGGAAATGTATTTATATCCTATATATGTAAAACTATGCTGGCTTAATATTATGAACCAACCACGCAGGCATTTCAGTAAATAAGTTGTAGTGAATGCCTTTTTATACCCTCTAACAATTATTTTCAATATCTTATCTTTTCACCATAATGTTAGGAGTTTAGAAATTGGTAATCATTGAAGCAGAAGATGGGAATGCTTTTTTCCTGTAATATTTTTAGATGACTTGTAGAATTCACTCTTAGCTTTGCTAATTATGAATAGAGGCACCAAAAAATTATGCCAATAAACTCTTTATACTTCACCGTAATGTACATTCTTTTTCTTTCTCTCTTTCTGCTTCTTATAAAGTGTTCTTATGAACATCTTTCTTTCTTTCTTTCTTCCAAAGGTGGAATATTTCCATTCTTCTTATCTCCTTATAACACAGACATAGCAAGCAATTTTGGCACCCTGGTTAGAGAGACTGGCTGCCAACAGACATCCATGTCCTTTTTACACACCACAAATGACCAAATTAGGGCCATGATAAAAGGTAGTATAAATTTCTCTTGCTAATTGGCAGTGGACATCTGTTTGTTTTAAAGAGGGAGAGTCTGGGCAGTCCAAAGAGCTCCTGGGCCCCTAAATCATGCAGGGCACCTGCCTTGGTTTCTTCATTTGTTGATGTGCCCAGGGAATCTAACTCAAGGCATGCCTTTGCAAACATGGGAGCACTGGTTTCCCTGCTTGCAGAAGCACACCCCAAGTGGTATCCAAAGGATTGGGCCCTGAAGCCTGGGAGCACCAGGGGCCTGACCCTGCAGAACAACAGGTGACATCTGTTTTACTCAATGAAGCAGATCAGCTGTGCTGGCAGACACATCCTGGCAGAGCTAATCCACTTTATTGGTAACATCTGTTTATAGCCATTGTTGAGTGCTGAAGAGTGCACTGGGAGTGGGGAACAAGTGGCTGAGAGAACAGGAGCTGCTGTGGCTGGTACCCTGCTCATCCCTCTTTAGTTCATGCTATTGCTAATACTGCCTATACTGATAGGAGGAACAAGAATGTCAGTGTTTAGCCTTAGACTAGTGAGAAGAGTAAGGTTCAATACAAAGCGATGCCAAAAAATTTACACTTCCTCTTTTTTTGGCATTTACCACTTATTTTTAGCCCTGTTATTATACAAAATCTTTGGACTTTAACTCTCAGTGCTGCCATTCATTATAAGGATCTCTCTCAGATTTCTAATACTTATCAAATATCGTGTTGATATAACACTATTTACATACTGTTTTATATTTATATTATATTACATATGCACAGAGGTATACATGTCAAATGGGCCTCCTCTAGAAAAAGGAAGCTCATAACTATTTATAGAAATTATATTGGGGAATTGTTCTCTTATAATGTTTTAAGATGTTATGTTTGGTATTCAGAATTATTTTCTGGTAACAGTTCATGTCCTAAATATACATATGAAAGCTCATTTAAATTGTTAGCTTTTGAGAAGTTATCTTTAATTAGTTTTCTATTTGTTCATTATTGTTAACTCTAATCTTGCTGCTGAAGAATATTAATCTTTTCCTTTTCTCATCTCTCTCTAATTCAGATTGGCAGTTGTACTAATCAAATGGGACAAATTGCAATTGTCTCATTTCAAAACTCCAACCCCAAGGTTATAGAGTGCTTTAATGTTGAATCCCGCATCCTCTGCATGGTCTACATTCCAGAGGAAGAGAAACCAAGAGAGTTAAATGTGGTTCCTGAGTCAGAAAATGGGGCTAGAAAGGCTTCCAGTGTGCCTACTATTTGCCTGGGCATGGAAGAAGGAAGGTAATATTCACTTTTAGTAATTTAGATATCTTGTATGCACACTGTACCCATCTAGTGCTACAGTTATATTTAAAACTGTTTTAATGCACCTCTGAGTAAAGTCAATAGCCCAGCAACAACATAGATGTAACAAAAATATCCTCCACAGAATTTTCAAGTTTTATTAAACATAGAATAAAATTAAAATAAGACCCATGTTTGAAGAAAAATGATTAATTCTGTATGAAGTAATATGGTGCTTGCAAAACTGAGAGATAAAATTTTTAGTATGCTGTACTGCATCATTCTAGTTTTCAGGCAAATTTGAAAGAGAGAAAAAAACTAAAAGCAGTAACTTCTTTGTAATGGGAGTGATTAGGGGGATTCAGCAACAATGTTTCATGGTAGTAAATATCATTAACATGTATTAGTTTATGGTATATGAAATGTATCCTGCTATCATGATACTCTACTGGAAAACAGAACAAGGCACAATAAGCTAAGGCGCAAAGTTATATCCCTTGAAAATACAACAGTGTGATTTTTGTGTCATCTTCCTGTTAATATAAATGAGGGACAAATCTTTCTATAAAAAATAATGTTGTGTTTTAATTCCTATATATAGAGCATAATCACATACTAGTGACATGCATATGTGAACTGCTGTTTGTACCAGACTTTTCTACTTAGTTCTAGTGTACAGTAGCAGGACACTGGGGTGTGACTGTTCCTTTGAGGGAGTTAGCAGCTTGCAAGGCTCCTTACAGTTGGTGCAGGGAGCTAATGAGAGGCTTATCTGATTGGAAGTGGGCTCAGACTAGAGCTGTATAAGCTCAGAGCCTGAACTGGTCAGGGAGTCTAGCCCTGCCAGCCACAGGGTTAGGAGCTCCTGCCCAGGAGAGCTACCCATGGACACTAGACTGACTACTTTGCTGCCTGCAGGAACAGTGAGTCTCAGGGAGCTCACCAGGAGCCCAGGCTGGGAGGTATGCCAGCACAAAGGGTTGAGGGAAGGTTTTCCCTCTTAAAGGGGCAGAGACTCCCCTTTTGGTGTTTGTTATAGCCTGGGGGCTTAGGGTTTAAGTTACAGTTTTATGCCGGCAGTTTGAGTTGGGCCCTGTACAGGTTGTATATGGAGGTCCCATTTGTGTTCAAGGGGCACACAATCACTTTGAGCCCTGCCAGGGGCAAGCTCAGGGTACAAACAGCTGTTGAGCCTGGAGTGGGCATAGTGTAAGGCCACAGAGCCACACAGGGGCCAGGGTCCTGGCACCCAAGAGAGGCATAACCAAACAGGGGCCCAGTGCCCAAAAGGTGCTGAGGAACCCCAGTGTGGGTCCAGTTGGACTGGGGCCACATGAAGGCCTGCTGCAGCCTTCCTATTATATTATTATATTTCCATCAAGGCATGGTGGGCAAGAAGGGAAGGCTCTAGGGGCAGAGTGGTGCATGGTCAAGGAGCCACCAAGGAGCGGAGCCGTCGCAACCTCTGGGATTGCCACATGCTACACATACCCATTGTATAGAATCAAGGCATCATGACAGAGCATTTAAAAATAAATTGAGGTTTGGTAATGAACCATTTCTTTTCCTCTCCCTTTTAGTGCCTGGTCCAAAGCTCTTTGAAGTAACTGAAAAATCTTAAATAGACTTTTACTTAGCCCTTTAGGTGGGATTACTTTGGTGTTCATGAAGGACAGTATTTTGATAGATAATTTCTCCAGATTAGATTAAATCTTCTTAATCCAAGAAACAAACTGATGGCATTCAGTAATAATGAAAATGTCTAGATAAACAGCTAGACGATATTATATTTAAATATAATTAAATATACACAATACTTTATTATAACAAAGTCACATGTGAAGTTTTTAATAAGACCCAAGTAAAACATAGTATCACTGATTTTAAATATTTTCTCTTGATTTTGTTTTCCTTTCATAGCATTTCTGTCTACAAAAGTCATCAAGGCTCAAAGAAATTTCGACTTCAACACTTTTTCACACCTGAAAAATCAACAGTCATGAGCCTAGCGTACATGTCCCAGTACTTGTTTGCTGGTTTGGTTAATGGGAACATCACAATCTACACAAAAGCAGAAGGTACAGTGATGATGTGATTTGATGACATCCTGAGGAACTCCTATGTCAGTATATTTTGGCAACAGCAGATTTCCACTGGTACATTTTTTCCTTTCCTGGAGAACTTCTGAATAAGAATTACTATGAAAACAGAACTTTATGGCTTTTATTCTTTCCAAGAGATGATGTATATTGTACTTAGTGCTATAAAAACATATAATGACTGACCCCCTGTCCCAAATAAGATTTTAGTAGAAAAACAAATATTAGGTAAAACTCAGTGTACTGTAGTTAACATACTGCAGATGCTAATCTCAAATCTCATTCCCAATATTTGTTTCTAAAAAGGAGAATATCTTATTTTTGCTAGGTTTTTCGGTAAATTCAGATTGAAATCATGACTGCTCAGCTATTGCACAGGTGGATGGATAATTTTTAGGCATGTCTTGTGTATGTCACAGAAAGGTTTCATTTTCTCATTGCCCTTATTTGAGGGAGTTTCATGGTGTAGTTTGATTGGGTCAGCAGGGAGCCAAAAGGAAAGGTGGGAAGGATGCTCGCTTCCTAGCAACTGCCATGTTCAGCCTGATAGGCCTTTTAGAACCTCTCTGAGCTCTCCTTCATAGAAGAGATGAATTAGACTCCAGTCCCTTTTAAGAATATTCCCAATCCTAGATGTGATGAAGACCACAAACAGGTGTTTGTTTTTACCAGTGCAAATTTCTGATTGGTCTGGGAGAGGAAGAGAGCAGTGAGGCAAAAGCCCCTAGCCCCTTCCCCAAGTGGGGGAGTGTCCGGTTTGTGGAAGAGATGGGGAGCTGTGGCCCCTCCTTCAGAGGGGAGGGGATAGGACCAGTCACCACTGTTACCTCTTCCCCAACTAGGTACTGCCCAGCTTGGGGAAGGGGTGAGGGGCTTTGTCTTGCTTGTTCCCTTATCCTTCTGGACTGGTTGGGAAGGGAGGAGAGCAACAGGACAAATACCCCAACCTATTCCCCAGACTGGAGATCCTGGTCTGGGGAGTGGGTGGGTAGCAGCAAGCAGCTACTATGCTCTGCTCCCAGTCCCGGGAATTTGAGGGAGCAGTGTGACAAACTCCCTGCCTGCTTTTCACTCCAGAAACTCCCTCTGCTGGTCTAGGGGGAGAGGGAGCAGTGAGGCAAAGCCCCCTGCCTACTCTTTACTCTGGGGACTCCATATTGAGCAGCAGGCAGCAACACCGCTCTCCCTGCTTGGCTCCTGGTGTCAGGGAGCTGAGCAGAGGGGGCAAAGCCTCTTGCCTGCTTCTCATAAAGCAGACTCCAGAATGAGTAACGGAGGTATAGCTGGCAGCTGCTTCTCCTCTCTCCTCCTAGTTTATGGGAGGAGCTACTCCCAGTGCTTTTTCCAGACCAGAGTGACCCCGGTGGCCAGCAGGCATAGAAGCCTTTCCTGTGACTCTACTCCTAGTCCCCAGGAGGAATTAAGCTGAAGAAAATCGTTACTGGGAGAGTATCCTCCAGGAAAATGATCATCTGTACATTTTCCTATCTCATTGTAGTCAGGTTATTTTTATTTCTACCTCATTATAGTCAGAGGAGGATGGGGACCAATAGCTTGATGTTCCAGCAAAGTAATGCCCTCCCCTCCCCCTTTTCTACTGTTTTTTAGCCTTCTTCAAAGGCATTAGGTGTTGGCTGCAGTCAAGGCTAAGGACTTTGGGTGGAGTGTGCAAATGCTCCTGCTGGGATCAAAGCCAGAGGTTTCTGCTCAGTGTCAAACTGATCACCATATTTGGGTCAGGAAGGAATTTTACCCCACTGTCAGATTGGTATGCACTGTGGCAGTTTTTGCCTTCCACTATATCAGGGACACCTGGCCCTCTACCCAGGACCTCTTGAGTGTATATTGACAACATTTTAAAGAAGCAGGACATTGGTTGCCTTGATTCCCCTGCTTTACCTGTGGCAGGTTAGGGTGTTAGGTCTACATTGGGTCAGAGTTTATGATTCTTATATAATAAAGGGCTTAGTCCATCTGTCTGTCTGTCTGTAATGCTTTTGGGAGCACTCTGGTTAGTGAAACAACCAATCAAAGCATGGAGCGCCACCATGATGGCGGGGACAGAGCAGGGGGATGAGACAGCGCTGGCCTTGCCCCCACCCCTCCCCGCTCCATCCCTGCCATCATGGTGGCATTGCCTCCTTCGAGAAGCGGGGGAGGGGGGGTAGTGGCACTGGAGGTGGTGGCAAGATGGGGTGCTGACAGAGGAGGATGGTGGGGCAAGCTTTCCCCCTCCCCACTCCTGGGAGGTGGCGCAGGGTAGTGGGTGATGGCGCTCCATTCCCACTCGTGTTTCTCCCCCACCCCCCGCTTGTCATTCTTGATGGGCAGTTGGCTAGTAGTTTTACATTGAGTTTAGATTATGATTTGTATGGGGTGGTTTGGATAGGGATGTTCCTACTTCAGGCAGGGGGTTGGACTAGGTGACCTCTGGAGGTCCCTTCTATCCCTGCTACTTTGACTCCTTCCTTCGGACACAAATAATGGGCAGTGGATCTACATGGATCCACCAGGTTTGTCCTAGCCTTCTTCAAGGG